AAAGCTACCAGAAAGGCACTGTTTAAATTCTTGAGTGAAACTGGGGTAGGAAAAATAATTTAACATTAGGTCAGGAAAGAAGATAGATTTGTTTTTTGTTTTATTTATTTAATGGTTTTATTTATTTATTTTAATTTTATTTTGATTAGAACATAGGTTAAAGAGTTGGAATGATGTGATGATTCATACTCATGTACAGTAGGTGGCGGTATGCACCTTTCAAGTCGTTTGCAATCCGCCAAAAGCAAGAGAAGAAGAAGAAGAAGCTCTCCTCAGTTCCTTTTAGCCGACAGTTTTTCATAGATCCGCAACTATGGAGGAGGCAAAAAACAAAGAGAATAAGCCGTCCGAAAAGACCGATGAGAAGGACAAGGAGAAGGAGAAGGGGCTGAAGTCCTCCGGAAAGGAGAAGGGCAAGAAAGAGGAGCAAGAACTGGTAAGTGTGTGGTGTTTTTATAAAAAAAACGTGAGCTAACAGACGTTATTTTGCCTTAGTCACTGTCTGCTCTGACAACATGGTTGAGAAGGCCTTGGTCATTTCCATTTCTAAATAAATCAATGACATACTGTTTATAAATGTAACACAACATGTCAAATAAACTGTCCTTAACCTTGAATCGTTATAAAATCCCGTTCCGTAAAAGTTGTAAAGACGAACTCGAGCAGTTAGCTTAGCTTTAGCCTAGCCGGTTAGCTAACGTTAGCTTGCTAGTTGTTATCGCTGCTGTCTGTACTGTCATCAACGTTAGCATTGTTGCCTGATGTGCTAGCATAATGCAACTTAGCCGTGTTTAACATTGGGTAGCGCTCTGTATGACACAGCAGCTGACACAAATACACTCTCACAACCAGAGGTGTAAAGTCACTTAGTAGATTTTAGTTAAATCTTAGTAAATTGGTTTCGTCTACTCCTTTACAACTCTGAGGTAAATGGTGCACTTTTACTCCACTACATTTATGTAATGTCGTTCCATTGTATATTTCGATTTTAAATCACATTCAACCCCTAAATAAGACTTTAGTTACTTGAGCAACATTAACATTAACTGCAGTTTACAAAGTAATTAAAACTTTGATAAACTCATGAATGCATCAATCATTATTAAAAATATCATATATATTATTCTGAAATGGACCAATCTGCACAATGACTACTTTTACTGTCGCTACTTTCACTATATTTTGATGATAATACTTTTCTACTTTTACTTGAGTAACATTTTGAGGACTTTTACTTTAACAGAGTACTCCTACACTCTGGTACTTCTACTTTTACTCAAGTACAAGATCAGAGTACTTCTACTTTTACTCAAGTACAAGATCAGAGTACTTCTACTTTTACTCAAGTACTAGATAAATACTGAGTAAATATCCCACTTCTGTCATTTGTAATAAATAGGTTACTTTAACTTCAACCATTCGCTGTTAAATTGATCAGAAACATTAGAAATGTACTATAGGATTTCTACCTGATTAGCTTCTAAAGCTAGGTAGCTCTTAGATAAATGCATGACTGTCATCTTTGAGTATCAGCTAAGTGGTTGCTGGTGGTTATCATTTTTCATACTGGCTTGTATGCCGAATAGTTAACAATCCAGTTCAGAAAGGACCAACACCAGCTGTCAAAATGCTGGTACAATATAGAAAAGTAGTGCTACGTAAACACAATTTACCACTGTCATCACCACATGATCAACTAGCATCTCAGAGCATCACTCTCATATCACATAGTCAATGTCTTTTAATAATTTGGATTAATAACACGTTTTATTCCTTCACTTCTTCTTAGTCGGAGGAAGACAAGCAGTTGCAAGAGGACTTGGAGATGATGGTGGAGAGATTGGCTGTAAGTATTGTTATTTCTTTCTGATACAACGACCCTTGGGTGTCAGGGTGTAAAAGCCTTAACAGTTCAAATGATTAACTGTATGTATGATTGCAGGAGAAGAACACAGAGCTGCACCACCCTGCTCTGGAGGAGCTGCGCAGACTGATCCGTTCCTCCACCACCTCCATGACCTCCGTACCCAAACCCCTCAAATTCCTGCGCCCGCACTACGGCAAGCTCAAAGAGATCTATGAGGGCATGGCTGCCGGAGAGAACAAGGTGAAGCTCTAAGTGGTGCCGGAAAATTATGAAATTCATGCATTTCTTGACAACTTTTTAGGTTAATCACCATAGGGAACATAGTGCCCATAGAGAAACTAGTTTCAAACCATTTACAAACGTTGAAATTCAAACCCTTTTAGACATACAATCAAAATAGTAACATATAGCTAACGGTAGCTCTAAATTCTCCAGTCAGACAGGTATTCATATCACTTTGATAAATGACCAGCTACATTAGTTATTTAATACTTGGTGAAATCCAGATGGAGAGAATAAGGTGAGTTTTTATATAGGAAAAAGATTGGACATTTAATTAAAACAGAGGTTTCAAACAATCATTAAATTGCAAAAATGTAAGTCTTATCAATATAGTTAAACATAGGTAACAGTATCTATATAAAATGTACCTGTCGGACAGGTAGTGACCATTACATTGATCAGCTATATTGGCATTATAATTATCGCAATTTGGTGTCGAAACCAGTTCAGAAATAGAATTTATAGTTGTATAATATAAAGGTCAATTCAAATATTATGTATAAGCTTTAGATACTATGAATGACTGCCCTGGAGAGAGCGCAGAGAAGCGTGTAAGACTGTGACTCCGCCTCCTGGTCTCAACTCCAGTTGGTCATGGATTAAGTCCACAAAGCCCTGAAATGTTTGCCGAAATGAGATTTGCACCTTCCACAGTAGGATGAATGCCGTCTCTCTTAATCAGACCAGGTTTTCCCCAGAAGGCTGTCCAATTATTTACGAAGCCCACATTGTTTGCTGGGCACCACCAAGACAACCAGTGCTGACATGATGACATGCGGCTATACATGTCGTCATTGATCAGATTGGGGAGGGGACCAGAGAAGATTACGGTGTCCGACATTGTTTTAGCATAACTACACACCGACTCCACATTAAGTTTGGTGCATTCTGATTGGCGTAAACGAACATCATTACCACCGACGTGAATAACAATCCTACTGTATTTACGTTTATTTTTAGCCAGCAGTCCTTTAAGATGCGCCTCAACGTCGCCCGCTCTGGCCCCCGGAATGCATGTGACTGTGGAGGCTTCGGTCTCTAAATTCACGTGTCTCATAATAGAGCTACCAATAACCAGAGTTGGCTTCTCAGCGGGTGTCTCGCTGAGTGGGGAATATCTGTTAGATACGTGAACGGGTTGGTGGGGACCTGCGGGTTTCGCGTTATGCCCCTTCTGAACAGTCACCCAATCTCCC